ACGTTCGCCCAGTTCGGTAAAACGAAACAGGCATTTAACTGTATTTCCTCAAGCCATTCTGTCAACACGAACGTGTTGTTATTGCACGTGGTGTACTCTTTCAGTGCACGCGACCACAGTAGATCCAGTAAATGTGTAAATAGTTATAACCGAGTGTAGTGAGCCCTATCGACGACAATATTTTCATAAGAGCTCAAAGAATGTTCGCAATTTTAACTTTGCAAATTTGATGCTAGATCCTTTTATTTTTTATCACGAACTAATAACCATTCTCCCACCCACTCAATGATGTCCGACAGAAGTAAAATGTGGTGGAATTTAAGAAATGACAATTTATTGTAATAATTCATAAGTAATCCGTGAGCAATCGCTCATATTATAATAATAATAAATTTGATATTTTCCCTCCCCTTAGTCATGCTAACATACGAACGTTCTTAAATTTGTTTTAAAAAGGAAGAACAGAAAAACAAGAATATGAATGTCCAAAGACTTGAAAGACATTCCATGTTAATGTATGACTTTTGTTGTGTGTTGAGATGTTTATTTATTTTTTTTTATTTTTCTTTGTTCAAATTGTGCAAAACAAAAATTACGAATCAGCCCAATTACTCGAATTTTCTGGGTGCACGACATCGTGTATTTTTTTTGTAGTCTTCATAGATCCACGATCTCACGAAAGAACACCACCTTCGCATCGGTTACTATCCACACACACACATACACAGCACGCACGCACGTACACACACACGCGCGCGCACACACACGCGCGCGCACACACACGCGCGCGCACACACACGCTCGCGCACACACACGCGCGCGCTCACACACACACACACACACACACACACACATATATATATATATATATATGTGTGTGTGTGTGTGTGTGTGTGTGTGTACATAGTGCTTAAGAGAAGTGAGAGAGATTTGATGAAATCACAGAGAAAAAGAAAAAAAGAAAAAAAACAGCAAGAGATTTTATTGATCTTGGATCTACCTGCCAACCAGGAAACGTGACACTCTGCTCCAGGAGCCGTTGTGTGGGCGGGCTTTCACGCCCAGCAGGTGCGTCATCACTTGGTACACGTCCACGAGCCGGATGGGCGGGTACACCGTCCGTTTACTCTACGTCACAACCAAGGAAATTGCGCGTAAGATTAAAGGAACCACGTGATTGAACGCGCAGCTGCGGCTTTGGTGCTGTAACGGCCGCTGTAGCTGTAGCATGTATGACTGCTAAACCAAGTTCGCAGATTCAAATATGTAGCCATGGATTTTTGAGGGTATAAATTCCTTCGTAAGCCGACTTTTAGAGAAGTAATACCGGCTGTCCCACGTTGTATATTTACGGTTAAAGATCAAGTCTGAAATCATCCTCCTATATTCCAATCCATTATAACGACTAATACACTCGTGAAATTAAAACCAATAGTGATTATTTAAACATACAAAATGCCCCAAACAGGGTTGTGTATCTCAAAAGGTTTATCTCTCTTTCTATCCTATTTTTCTTACCGCTTCTCTCTACTGGCCAACCATATATTGTGACTCATCCATCATAGGAGGCGATATGCTTGGATCGTCAATTTCCAATAAACCGGAATGTATATAGAATAACATCATTAACATAGATTCAATTATTTTCAATATTTGGCGCATTTTGGAACTCTGTTGGACATAATTTCATTAGTGGAAGAGACCTATTAAATGCTCCTCGTTTCGCGAGTCGGGGATTTATCAAACATTTCCAAAGCACCTTTGCCAATAAAGTGAATGATGGTGGGGTGAAGGAATGAGTAAAATGAGAAGCGGGAAGGTAGAACTCTCAAAGAAAACCGTCGAGAGCTCGCTTTGCCATATGTATTAGCAGGAGAGCGGTCCCGGTCGTGGAAATGGTGTGGGTACCACCGGTATCCGGCCACCTTAATCCTGGTTCGCCGCTCTGGTAAACCTGGGCGCGTTCTGTTAATAAGATAGTCCCGACAGGGCGCAGCACTTTCACGCCGAGCAGCACGCAGAGCCAGGACGATCACCAGAAAAGTGAAACGGGACTGGTTGCTCATGGGCCCTCAGTCTCTGAACAAACTCTGACTCCAGAAAGTCTGGGATCATCGAAAAGAGAGAGTCAGTTTGTGTGAGTTTTTCCATTCTGTGATTCGTACAGCCGAAGAATGGTTTTTCACTACGTGTTCAATTTGTCAACGAACATCGGTACCCCTCACCTGTCCATGTTTGACAATTCTTTTTACTTTGTCGTATACGTACGTATGCATAGAGCAATATGCGTAATATAACGAAAATTATGCAATGCTGCAGGTAACGATGTTCACAGAAATACACGTTTTGGAGTCCCTTGATACCAAAAGAGTCTGTCCGTCTATCCGGCCTTCTATTTGTCCGTCTATCCGTCAGCTAGTCCGTCCGACTGTTGGTTAGTACTCCCTCTTCCCATTTGAATCAGAGAGATCTGTGGTGGTACCTTGAAGCCAGAGCCCCAGCCCAACAGCAGTGCGGGGGCGGTGGGTTGGAAATCCCACATCTGATTGCTGTATTCCGTTTCGGGCTGTTCGACCGTGGATGAACGGTGAGGGCAGTGAGTCCTGTTCCAGGTCAGCGGATACATCAAGATGTCGGGTGCCCACTTTCCACGCTGCAACATGAAACAATGTCCCCAGCTTTCTAAAATGGCAAAAATGTAGAGGTCATTTGAGAGCCGAAACCATTTTAGAAATGTGTATTAAAATTGTGTTTAATGAAGCAATGGTTAATAATACTCCGATATTATTAACAATAAAAAAATATTCATAAAAGTAACTTGATGTCGTGGCTAGTCAGCAAAGAAGTTAATGCGTTCTCCACCAGCCAGATGTCGCGTCAACGTGACAATGTGACATGTCAATAAGCGTGAATGTTAAGTACAGTAAATTAAAGATGTTGTCTGGTATTAACAATTTATTTTGCTAATAATCGTTTCGATCGCGTAGAAATAAAATTACATTAATATATGAATTATAAACAATTAGGGATAAGTTAATACAAATATTATATACAAAATATAGACACTGAATGCCAGACGCGTAAGCAAACTGGGTCGAACATACCTTGCAGCTTCCGGGCCGAAAACAAAGTTCTGCGGTTTTTTGAAAGTGTGTCTTGTTTAAGAACAGAGCGTCCTGTCGGCAGCGGGTAGGGATTCCCACCCCTGTGCGGTGAGGTGCGGAGGGGTGCGGTGCGAGCGAAGGGTCGTAAGACGCGGGGGTGCCGGTGGAGGTGTGAATAGAGGAAGGCGAGTGGAGTTAGGGGGGAGGTTTGGGGGTGTACACTTTGTGTTAATTTTAGCAGAGTTGAAGAGAGTTCAGGGATTTGTTGGTTAAGACAAGTCATGTTCTGTTTTTTGAGGATGTTGTGTATATATAGGGATTCTACTTATATTTTGTCCAGTACCTGTTATCAATTTCTAGAATTTGGAAATTTACGTGTTTATCAAATATGTGTTGGTTTAAATTTAGGTGATCCGCAAAGTGTGAGACTGTGGTAGTGTTGTTTTTCCATGCTTGTTCGTGTTCTTTGATTCTCTGTGGGATTTTCGGCCTGTTTGCCCTATGTATATTGCATTGCAGTTGTTGCAAGTGAGAGCATAGACCCCGCATAAGGAGGTGGGTGGTATTGGGTCTTTAGTGTTGTATAAAACTTTGACGTAATGTATGAGTGTTGTTGAAAGTAGTTTTGAGATCGAATTCATTGAGTGGCTATTGTTCATTGAGTGGCGGCTATTTTAAGAGAAAGGGGTCCTATATAAGGGATTGTGAAGTATGTGACTGTAGTGCTTCTGTGAGTTGGTGGGTGGTGTGTTTGCGGATATTGATTGTTTTTTTATTATTAATTTGTCAATGATGTTACAGACGTATCCATTCATTCTGGCTATATGCTTTTTGGTGTTTATTTCCTTTTTTGTGTTTTCTGAAAACATGGGTATTGAAATTACCCGATGCACCATCGCATGGAAGGGTGCGTGTTTGTGTGTGTGTGTGGGGAGTGTTGTGTATGAATGATTGTGTCCAAGTGGGTGGGTTTTCAGAATATGTTGAATTCATGATGGTCCTGTGCTAGCGAGATGGTGAGGTCAAGGAAGTTTAAAGATTTGTGTTCGTTTTCAATTTCAGTGATGAATTTTATGTTGGCGTGTAGGGAGTTGATGTACTGTGGTAAAAATATCAAGTTGTCTGGTGGTGCCTGTCCATAGTGCCACAAAACAAAACAAAATACATTATTGATACCAGACAACATCTTTAATGTACTATTCTTAATTATTAGAAAGGATCTACCTCACCAGCAATCTAATTCAAGCGTCAATGTGTAATGGCTAGAAAGTGTAGGTTCAGCGAATGCTTTTAGGGAAAGTTTTCCAAGTGTTTAAAACATTTTAATTACTAGAGACCGGAAAAATGTGTAGTATGAAACATCACAATACGTACATAAATATGTAATGAAAACAGTAAGAATATGTAGTAAATATGTAAAATCGGAAATAATATGTAATGTTAAAATACATTAATTATAAAACCCATTTATAAGAAACGAAATTCCATTTATAAAAAAATCCTAAACGAATTTTAAAAAAATAAACGTTTTAAAATCATGCAGTGAATTAAGCAGTAGTAAAAAATTCATTTATTGGTAGACCCTAGTTTAGCAACCAGACTACACGCAACAGACCGGCGATATATACGACCTGCAAACATACACTGCAGCGCGCAGCATTTGCATCGAAGTGTTAACGTCAGCGACCGCCAGTTTCTCTGAAATTACGGTTAAAGGCCACGAAAAGCGGTGTCATTGATACTACTCACTCCTCTAGGTGACAATGATCTCAGTAGCTGACGCGCACATCCCGCCGCTGGGATAACTGAAGCAGGTGCGCCGGACTATAGCGAACCTCGAGTAGACTGCACGTAGTAATAATGTAGAGAAAGCATGCTGATTGTTTTGAAAATACTTCCTCTCATAAAAAATATGTAATAAAATGAAAGAAAATTTATAAAATAAAAAAATATACGTACCAAAATATGTATTTATAATGCAGTACTAAATATGTAAAAATATGTAACGAAAAAATTGGATATAATTTTAGGGTGGTGCCGATTCTCCAAGATTATAATTTTTAGAATGGTAAGTAGAAAGACAAAAAACATGTAATTACGTAAAAATCTGGTCTCTATTAATCACTAAATGTAGCTTTGTAGTAGCAGCATTACACAGACGACTAAACTGAACAAAGCAGACAATAAATCCCGAAGGCTCCGGAATCCCGATAAGTTTGTTCCGATATCGTCACCAAAAAGGATGTTTTAAGAACTTATGCAAATCATGTCAATATTAGTGAAAAAATATCAAAAAGAACTTATTAAAATAGAAATTATCAAAGTGAGGCCATGAAGGTCGAAGGTAAAAACTAACAGCTCGCAATGAACAGTGCGCTCCGAACGTCGTAGCCAGGAGAAGTCGCTCACATCACTAAACCACCTCAAGACTCGTGTGCTTGCTTTCAATGGGTTGATTAGTTAGTGATTCCGAGTGTATCAAGGTCATAAATCTCGCAAGTTTAGTGGTCTCCCACCACCGTGGCACGCCACAAACGAGACAAGTTCGAAGCTACCCACTTGTCTGCTGTCAAGGGTGGTAGTGTAGTGCATATTGGTTTAAAGTGTTTAAGTAAGGGGTGAGGTAAGGACAAGGAAGAGGAGGGAAATATCACGCGCGTTCCGTTGCCCGTTTGTCAGGGTTCTGCTCGGGCATTCGCCTAGTGTTTATGGAAGAATCCACGGAAAACGACCGATCAGACCAGCCGCCCTCTAGAATTTTCCTCCAGGCACCGGCCGAACTCGACCTCGCTGTCCAGCTATTGTCGAAATTCCTGCTCGTATGAGGAACACCCGTTGAGAGGCTCTGACCTTGTAGTGGAGTTCGTCCGGGATGTCCTGGCGCAGGAAAGCTCGGTAGCCGTCGAGGGCGGCGAGGCGGCGCCTGAGCGCGGGCGCGGTGCCGGGGAAGGCGTACACCAGCAGCAGGCGGCGGTCGGGCACCGCACGCATCACGTGCGCCGGCCGCAGCAGCAGCGCGTTCAGCAAGATCGGGGGCGGCGGCTGCGCGTGCGGGGGACACACCGTCTCGTACCCGCGGTCCGACACCACCAGCAGCTGCGCGTCCAGCTGCCGCCCCGTGCGGAACAGGTAGGCGAAGAGGAAGTGCAGCCCCACGGCCACGTCGCGCAGCTGCTCGCGCGCCTGCGCACACCACGCGACGCTCTGCCTTCCCCTTCCCTCCCTTCGATACCTTCGCTCCCTTCCCCACAACTCCTTTACCACGTCTGCCCATCTCTTGCTTCCATTCCTTGCACTCCCTTACCCTCCGTCCCCTTCTATTCCAATCCGTAATTTGTTTTCTCTTATCCACTTCGCTCCATCTTTCTATTCTCCGTCGCCCAATTCGCTCCGTTCACCACTTTCCCTCCTTCACTCCCACCTCTTCATTCCTTTCATTGAACCTCCTTCACTTCCTTTCTCTCCATCCTTTCACTCTAATCCCTTCCGTTCCATTCCCCCGCCCTATTCGCCGTGTCTCTTCCATTCCCCTCCCCGCCCTTTCACCCAATTCTCATTCGACCACTTCGATCTATTCCACTCCGACTCCTAACTCAAATCCACCTCATGACCCCTTTGCTCTATTTTCCATTTGTCCTCTTTGCTCCTTTGACTTCTATTGGCATCACTCCCTTCTCATACATCGTTTTCATTCCCTTCTCATCTATCGCCTTCACTCCATCCCCTTCTCTTCTTTCAACTTCCATCTCCTTCACTCCTTTTCCCCTCCATTTCCTTCACTTCTTTCTTCTCCATCATCTTCACTCCATTACCTTAGATACTTGTTGCACCAATATGTACGAAAGTTGACACATTTTAATTTCTCGCCTTACGAAGTGCTTCGTAAGAAGATAAATGTATGAATCGTGAGCCCAAAAAAAGCGAAATTTCGGCCACAAAACTCTTATTTCTTTACGGAAAGCACCGAGTTGCCACTGATAATAGCTTATTTGGTTGTTTGTGTTTTAGTTCTTAAACGTCTTCATGCACGTGGATCTGAACTACACTGCCGCCGAGGACGACTATTGGCTCTGAACAAAATGTATTTCCCCGATGAGGCCGAGGGCCTTCGAATTTCAAATATTTCAATTTTCTGGGAGTATTTTACATAAAATCCCCAGGAATTGTCTGAATTTTCTTGAAGAACTTTTAATTTTTTGCTTTAAATATTTAGTTTTAATAAAGTAGATTTAGAAATATAGCTGACTAAACTTCTTTAGAACGGCTCCAATGTTTCCAAACAGAATTGATATTTAGGACGATGTTTTACTCTTTCACAATATTCTTAAAGATATGTCTCAGTTCTATCATTATGAGACCGAAAAATTAATGTCATTAAGAGAATATGTGAAAAAAGTTACTTTGGGCAGCGATAGAAGGCAGGGAGGAAGAGAATGAGGCAATATTGAAAAGCTTTCCCAGACGAAAAAAATTAGAATACAAACTAATTCAATAAAGTATGAGCCATTCTGTAGTACCACTAGTTTTCCTTTCTCATATACGTCCATGTTAACGGAGTAACATACGTAGTATAGAGAAAGTTATGCAATGATGCGGAAAATCAATTTCAAGATTTCGACGGAAATACACGTTTTGGGGTCCCTGATAGCGTTTTTTCTTCTTTTTTTCCTGAAAACATCCGTCCATCTGGCCGTTCATCTGACTGTCTAGTGAACAACACTAGCGTATTAGTACAATTATTTCCAAAATGAATATTACCTGATCGATCTGGCTCCACTTACAGCTCTGCGATTTTCAAAAACATTGTTTAGATTTTGGTAGTATTTTTCATAAAGCCTCTGGAACGTTTTTAAATTCTCTCAAAAATAGCTCCAATTTTTTCTTTAAATTTCTTTTAAGAATACAGTGAAACACATTTAAGGTGGCAGAGGTCCGATTTTCACTAACAACTGGGAATTTTCGAAAATTGTCAAAGTTAAAAATGTTTCGACAGCCACTTTTCTACTACTACAAAATTCAAGATACGCATTTTTCCTTTAAACAGATATTTGTTTTCCAATATCAGTGCTTTTATACCTAGCAACAAACTTGCTCGTAGTGAGACCACAGACCATTAGCATGGAAAATAAGCAACAACAAAAAAGCAAATCTACACAGCTAAGATCGTCAAGGAGATTTCGCCTTCACTTTCGGTTGTAAGGGTCGCGGATTTGAAATCTATCTCGGGCGTGGATGTTCATGTGTGTTGTGACATATTGGAGTGGTCCAAAACACCATGTATCACGGTCTGGGTGTGAAAGGCTTGGAGCATTTCCAAACTTGTATGTTTTTTAACGAAACTGTATGCGAATCTAAAGCAAAGTACTTATGTGTTGTGTACTTATATGATTTTCTAGACCATCACTAATACCCCTTTAATATCATAGCCTATCATTAATTTATCCCCCTCTCTCGGTTAGTTAGGTTAAGGAACGTAAGACCAGGTGCATGACAGAAGGGTTTACGAAGAGCATTGTAAGCCATCCGGTTGTAGCCTATTTCTGTTCTCTAACCTTCCACGACTCTGAGACCTACTAAGACGATTCTTTACGATTATACACGAATCGTTCGCAGCTGATATTCCTAGTAGCCGTCTAAATAACTTCTTATCAATGTAAAAGCGGGTGTAGTACACGTTATTCGTTCATATAGTTAGTTATAACAATTGTAGGAGACGAGTGGCAAGAGAGGAATGGCAAGGATATTTTGCCGTTTCACGTGATGCTGTGAACCGCAAATATAACATAACAAATTTTAAAAATCGGCTGACCGTGGAGGGAAAACTAGGTATGCGAAAAATATGTTTTATTACGTGTTTGTATTTATTGCAATATTGTTTAGCTTTACAAAATAGCTGTATTTAGTTACGACAGAGAGAATGAAAAGCTTCTTTGCCTTTTTGATAAAGTTGAAACAGACCCAGAAATATCATAAGTTAGTGATACGAAAATCTATCGTATTGGAATAAATGTACATTTTAAATCAGTTTCCGGAACATATGTAATCATCGTGGCTTGTTGAAGCAAGTTTGTTGCAAAAGGCTAAGAGAGAAGCAATGTTTTCATGAGCTAGGCTTGTCCAACTTCATGTACAATGACTGACGTGTGCCTGCAAGGTACATCGTCGCGACTAAGAGGGAGTCTAGCAGATACCACTAGGCAGCACCTACTACGTCAGTCTCAGGTGGGAACGGGTACGTAGAAGACCGTAGGCACCGAGAGGTAAAACAGGAATACATTTTTAAATAAATACATAAAACATTACCTCTTTTGAGAAGGGTCCATATTTCAGCGTGGCGTTTTCCAGGCCATCGTAAGAAACCATGATGAGATTGAATTCCTGCTGAAGCAGTTTCGTCACATTCTCCACCCGCTCCAGGAAGGAGCTCGAGGATGCACTGTACCCGTGGGCTACCTCCGGCAGCTTTCCATAGAAGGGCACGTCGGCGTTGTTCCACTCCAGCGTGGCCACGCGTCTGCCCGCCTCCGTGGCCGTGATCCAAATGGGCTCCCTTTCCTGCCACCACCGATCGTCCTTGACGCTGTCCTTGAATTCGTAGAAGTCCATTTGCGTCTCGCTGTCGAACATGGCGTCCCCGAGAATCCCGTGCTCCTCAGGATACAGGCCGGTTTGCAGCGTCGTCCAAGAAGGGAGCGAAAAACTGGGGAACACGGGCACCACTTGGGACACGCGGACGCCTTGCGAGAAGAAGGGACGAAAGCCGCGGAGCTCGCGCTCAGTCCAAGTGTCTAAGGCATCCCATCGCATGCCGGGGATCAGTATAACGACGACTTGCGGGTTTTTTTTACGTTGTGTAGGTTCATCTTCCTCTAGAATGGGCCATCTCTTTGTGATAAAATATAGGAAAATAGCAGCAAGCAGCAGTACTGTGGCGACAATCCATACAACGGGTACAAAGATCTTTGGTCGACATATCACATGCCATCGAGAAGGAAGTCGGACCGGTTCTTGAGACTCTTGATTTGCTTTCACGGTAGTTTTCGAGCGTACCGGAGAGATGCGTGTATCTTTAGCTGCCATGGCCCTCTGGAACTTGCAAGGGCATGAGGTATCGATTCCTGATTGAGATTGTTGAAAGAAATGACAGACAATTGTCAAACATTAATAAAATGGAAACGTTTTAGAATTAGGGTAAGTTTATGTTGGAGCAGCGATAAACGATTAGACCGACGAGAGAGAATATGTTCCTACATTTCAGCTCTGATGTGTACATGACGGAGCAACGCGAAGCAGCGCCGCTCCGAATCCATCAGAGACATCTGCAGGATATTCGTCCAAACTAACTCTTCCCTTCCATAACAACATTATGTAAATCACCCACCATACTTACTTAATTGACGTAGGGACTTTTGGTTACGGCTTAAGGTGAACCGCAGTAGGAGTCAACTCAACTTCATTCACCTAAGCAATGGAAGCAATACAGCCTACGAGGTCCATAGGTATTTTCTTCGCTGGATCTTGGCATCCTTGATAAAGAGATATGTCAACCTCACTCAACTCCCCTCCCCTTGCAACTTGCGGCAAACAGCCTTGTGGACGGCGCGCGAGAGTCGCTCCTAGCGCATACTTATTTCGTTACGTCTTATGCGAATTCAATTGTATTTTGCATGGTATTTTCATCGACACGTCGTGATTTGTCGAAAAACCCTTCAACTAATGTGCTAATAATGAGCATTTTAAAAAATGAGGTAAGGAAAAAATATTCACGAAGCTGTAGAGAGAGAATTGCCCAGTGTGATATCCTGGCTGAAGTGGTGATGATTATAAAGGTAAACTGCCAAGGCTACAATAATTATTAAGTTGGTTTGCTTCAAACATACCATAAGAATAAATAATCACTATAAACATCAGTAATTGAATCAGTACTTAAATATTTCTTGAAAATTATTTTAGATAACGTGAATTTATAATACCAATACAGAAATTAATATGCAATCTAACTTTATACAGATTAGTGTTTACGGAAAATTAAAAGTGGCTTACATATAAACATATTTACATTGAAATTAAAAGAGAAGCAGATTTGTATATACCAGCAGGGTTATAAGTATACTATTTTGTACAACAAAACACTCTCTCCCAAATGCTTTTAGTTTTTCATGAAATTTGATCCAAGTTTACACGAGAGACTTTATAAATGATTGTGAGTTTTTCACAAATAATTGTAAATTAATGATTTTCAATTCTGAAGTATAAAACTGGAGGGAATTTCATGGAAAACAGATTATCAGGAAAGTGAGGAAGGTAATTGGCATGCTAGTTTTATTTTAAAATGTCTCTTAAATCTTAATGATAAACTGGAAGGCTGAGGGTTGTGG